GATAGATAGATAGATAGATAGATAGATAGATAGATAGATAGATAGGTAGATAGACAGATAGATTTTTTTAAGTCACTGAAATAAGGCTATAAAACACATACAGAACATTTGTTCACAAGACTTTTGAGAACTGGCTGTGGATCTGGATGATTACTTTTATATCGTGTTGTTTTACATTTTATAGAACATTAAAAAACATCCCGGCGTCGTGACATTTAGATGCAATGAAATGAAACATATTTCAAAATGTTTCACTTCATTTCATACATTTAGTCAGGAATTATAGTCTAAGAATCTAAGAAAAAAATTTATTTAATGTTTTCAGCTCTTTATTATGGAAATGTTTGTGTAAATCAGTTTCAATTTGACATGTGCATGTGTGTAAATACTCTCTGTAAAGCTTTTTTTTTATTATTTGAAGAGTATTCTATTTAAAATTAGTTATTAATAATAACAATTTAAATGTATTGCTTTACACATTTATATTTTTTAATTAATTTATAATAATTAGCCCTACATTAATTCTGAGTTTAATATTTTAAGGTAATAAGTGCTAATAATTTAGTACTACAAATAAGTTACATACATATAGGCCAAGTTGATATTAGTTTAAATCATATGATTCATAAAACTTTATAAATTAATAAATGTTGTATTATGTAATTATGTAGTATGTATAAATTATGTAACATGTATAAAGTTTAATTTATAAAGGTCTATCAAGTTTTATATTACCAAAAGCTTTATAATTCCTAAAAGTTTGCATTTACTTTCCATATTTAAATTTATATCATTTAATTTTAAAATATATTTATACTATACGGTAATTACACAAAGTTTAAGACTAGTTAATAAAGTTACACACACTAGATAGATAGATAGATAGATAGATAGATAGACATTAACGACGTAAGACGCACATTTATTATTTACTTTTCTGCTATATATTAATGTTATATATTATCCATCGTTATATCACCCTACTTTAAATACTATTATAAATGTACTTTATTTTAATAATATCTCTATAATTTTTATTCTTTAATGCCATCGTTCTTATGTTGTGTATATTCATCCTCATTAAATAGTGTGAATACGAATAATTATTGGTGATTCAGAGGTTCAAAGTTATTGTTATTTATAACTTTTTGTGTGTGTCAGTAAATATTTTATATTTATTGAAAAAGTTTCAGAAAGATTATAGTTAGTAGAAATTTGGATTTTTTTCCCAAAGTGTAGTAAAGCTTAGTTTAGTTTCTAATCTGTTTTCACGAAGTTTGGAAATAGCAACCTGATTCCTCAATGTGGGCCCCAAAGATTATTATAGTAACTAAAATCATAAAAAATACAATTTTGTTACTTGAAATAAGATAAAATATAAAAAATATGTACATACATGCTGATTACATATTATTGTAGCACAGTTTGCTCTGGATACAGTGTAATCAGACTTTAGCCATTAAAATATTTTTAAGATACTGAAAAAAGCACAAATGTCAGGGCATGTCAAAACTTCTCCAGGGCCCCAAAACACCCCAGGGGGTTAAAGGGTTAGTTCGCCCAAAAATGAAAATTAGCCCATAAATTACTCACGCTCAAGTCATCCTAGGTGTATATGACTTTCTTCTTTCAGACGAATCCAGTCGGAGTTATATAAAAAATTGTCTTTGATCTTTCAAGCTGTTTAATGCCACTCAGCGGGTGTTGCATGCACGATTGTTCTGATAACCAGCAACTGTCTAGATACAATGTTTCAGTTTTGTGTTTCCTAGTATTTTAATTTCCTAACGAAAGGACATGTGGTTTTGTATAAAAATGCGACATAGCTTCACTCCGGATGGAAGAAGCTCCGCTGGATCTTAAGGGCAAGCATGGCCAAACATCTGAAATGTTGGCATAATATCACAAAAAAAGAAAAGAAAGAAAAAAGAAAGAAAGAAAAAAAAAACGGTAAGACAGAGAACAGAGAAAGTGAGAAATGCTGTTTCTATTCGTTTGAAATTGATATTGGTATTGGTATAACTCATTGGTGTCCTTAGTCAAGAGTTCAGATAAAACGGATTTACAAAAATACAGTCGACAAGGATGTTTTTTTTTTTTTAATGCTTCACAAATTTACAGATAAATCAGGACATCCAAATAGATAGCATAAAAACATGAAAACGGGTTATAACATATACATTAAAAACAGCACAAGTAAAAGAAACTAAATAAGGAAAAAAGAGAGAGAGACAGCAATTACAAGGTGTTACTTTAAAATTAGCTTGAACTTTTCAGCAAATATAATTGTATAATTAGATTTTTTGTTATCATTACATTTAAAAGAGTCAATAAACATAAGCCAAAAAAAACCTTAAAACATGGTTTAGAGTTACACCTTTTACTTTTACAGTATGTATATAAAATCATAAGATTCACCCAAAAATTAACATAAGTAATTTTTGATGCATAATATATGAAAACATCTTTGCATGTAAATTGTGTCCAGATTTCTGTTGAGAATTCCTAGATAGATTTTTCTTTTTCTTTTTTTTTTAATAACAGCAGTTGAAGAAAAAAAAGATGTAATATTTTTTTCTGGCTGAGCTGAACTAAATGAACAACTTCATCAATATCCCAAAATTATGGATTTTTCTATCCCGAACGTGATAGAATCCGGAAACGAAACTGAAAGCCAACTATAAAAGCCCTCGACTCAGATTCTGCCCTGCCTAAATTCATGTTCAGGAGGAGCTGCTGCTGCATTTATGCGTGCATCTGCTTATTCGACTCATCAGAACAATTAAAGAAGAAACCGCTTCTTCCATATTTCATTTCTGGTCTCAAAAAAGAAAAAGTGAATAGACGCAAAAGGTTTCATTCTCAATTCTTTTTTTTTCAGCCTCCGCGGACGTTCTTGTCTTTCAGCGTTGTTCTTTCTATTAATTTCAAAGTGTTGGCGTTGAAATGGCGTCAAGTTCAGGTAAGAATCAAATTGGATACAAATATATGTAGCAACATTTCCTCTTATATTCATGAAATAAGTAAAAACTACATCTCACATGCATCTTTACACGTGTAAAACTTCTCAATACACATAAAATCTATCTATGCCAGGTTATTATAGCATGCATTTGTAAATGTAATTAATAGGTGAGTATTTGTATAATAAAAAATGCATTATTAATTTCATATAAATTGTGAGGCTATATTTGAAAGTGCTTGACTGAATGATAAATACATGTTGTGATATTTAATATAAATGTTATATCAGATGTGTGTTTGTGTATTTTATTATATTTAATGTTATCTTGTATGTTTATTATGTCAGAATTATGTTATTTTGACTGTGGTGTCTAAATCATAACTGTGACTAACGAAACTTATTAATAACCGCGGAGCCCCCGCATCTTTTCACCGCGTTTATTTTAGTTAAAGCTCTTACAGTATTTGGTGGGTAAACATTCGCACAGATGCCTGGCGCAAACCTCGGCTCTGCAGTTAAATGCTGTATCGATGGTCTCTTATTCCTTATAACCATTAAACTGCTTTGAGCCCCTCCCTCAGCTAACCTCAAGTGCATAATGCACCAGTATAGAGAAATGAAACCTATTGAAATGAAAGTGAGAAAAAAAAATATTTAACCCCCCCTACACACCCCCACAAAAGCAGCAGGGTATGATCTCACACAGCAACACAACACAACTGATGTATAACTCCCAACCCAGCAACACACCTGTAGCTGTAATAAAGATTACATGTGGAAGCATCTGTTGTTTCATTTTCTTCTTCACTTGTGTTGTTTTGGAAATTTTGTACAGAAGATGTGTACTAGTGGCCCCTACCGTATAACAATGAAAACACGGAGTCTAGGAGCAAAAGTATAGCTCAAATATAATTTTTTTAAGTATAATTCAAATATACTTAAATGTCATTTTAAGTATATTTCTGAGAAGTACATAAAAAGTAGACTAAAAGTAGACTTTCCTATTTTTTAGTTTAATAATAGCACACTTGAATAAACTTCTTTTTCGTAAGGGAAGGCATGCAACATATTTCATAGTATTCTAAGCAGTGATAAAGGCTATGTCGATTAGCATTGCTTTATTATATACTTTATATAATAAACCATATATTGTTGTAGTTGTGTGTTTATTACTCACGTTGAATTAATGAAAGTAGTTCCTGGGTTTCTTCTGCGAGGCGTATTTGGAGTTTCTCTGGCCTTCGGATGGAGATTTACTACTGATCACAGAACCGTGCTTCACTGAAAGATACACGTGACAATCACAGCTTCTGCCTAATCGCGATTTATCGACTTTGCGATTTAATTTCGATTAATTGTGCAGCCCTAATTTGTACATTGGAGAACATTTTTTGTGAGGGTTGTGTTTAGAGGTATATACAGTTTATACAGTATAAACCCAACATGTGTGTGTGTTTGTGCTCTTTTTCAGTGAGTGATCTGAGGATTGTGCTGCTAGGAAAGAATGGATCAGAAAACAGTCGAGTGGGAAACACTATACTGGGAACAGAAGCGTTTCACAGTGAAGCTGCATCTTATTCTCAGCAGCACAGTATGAGAATCAGTGGAGAGGTGGAGGAGAGACACATCACAGTTATAAACACTCTCCTGCTTCAGCCGAATCTCTCACACTATCAGACCACACAGAGTGTGAGAGAGTATGTGTCTCTGTCTGCTCCAGGACCTCATGTGATCGCACTCGTACTGCAGTATAATGACTTCGATGAGAACGACATTCAGAGAGTGAAAACTGTGCTGAGCCTCTTCAGTGAGCAGGCCATTAAACACACTATAGTGCTGACTACTGATGAGGAGCCAAGTGAATTGATACATCTGGCTTATTTGATCACAAATAATGCTATTCATGATTTAATTAAGGAGTGTGGAGGAGGACATCTGCAGTTTGATACAATAAACCCAGGATGGCGCTCTGAGTTGATCAGAAGAACAGAGATACTCAAGAAAGAGCGTGAAGAATTTCTCATCTGTAACATGTATGAGGATGGAGGTGATGCAACATCAGTGGATGAAGATCTGAGCAGATCTGGAGCTTCAGACAGAGAAGAAGACGAAGAGGAGGATTCTGATCTCAAAGAGAGCACAAAAACAGCAAGTGATGGAGGAGGTTTGTCAAAGTTTTGCGTGGAATGATTTTTGTGTCCTTTAAAGGGGTCATTAACTGCCGTTGTTTTTTATTTTGTACTGTTCTCTGAGGTCCACTTATAATGTTATCAAGATTTTTACACCAAAAACATCATAATTTAGAAATAATAGGCTATTTTCTGTCCTGTTTTGACCCCCTCATCAGAACGCTCTGTTTGAATAGGTGTGGAGGATTGTCGACTCACTATGAGTCTAAACGCACACTGCTGTGATTGGCTAATAGTTGTGTGTGTTTGACAGCCTACATCCTTCACAGATGGACGCATACATGCCCAGAACATATCAAACGACCTGTTTAACAGATAAAGCAATAGTGAGCACATAATAAAAACAGTTCCTTACACTTGTGTGGTGCCACATTATCACCCTGCAGCCCAAGACTGGTTGCCCACTGAAGCTAAGCAGGGTTGAGCTGGTCAGTACCTGGATGGGAGACCTCCTGGGAAAAACTAGGTTGTTGCTGGAAGAGGTGTTAGTGAGACCAGCAGGGGGTGTTCACCCTGTGGTCTGTGTGGGTCCTAACGCCCCAGTATAGTGACAGGGACACATTGCTGTAAAAAGCACCATCCTTCGGATGAGACGTTAAACCGAGGTCCTGACTCTCTGTGGTCACTAAAAATCCCATGGCACTTCTCGTAAAGAGTAGGGGTGTATCCCCGGTGTCCTGGCCAAATTCCCTCCACTGGCCCTTGTCAATCATGGCCTCCTAATAATCCTCATTCATTGAATTGGCTCTATCTCTCTCCCCTCTCCACCTGTAGCTGGTGTGTGGTGAGCGCACTGGTGCCGTTGTGCTGCTGTATCATCCAGGTGGATGCTGAACACTGGTGGTGGTTGAGGAGAGACCCCCCCACATGATTATAAAGCGCTTTGGGTGTACAGCAATACACAGTGAAAGTGCTATATAAATGCCTCATTCATTCATTCTTTCACGTTACGGTCAGATCCAATATAGTCCACAGCATCGTCTTTTAGTTTCAATCTTTCTGAAAATCCTGTGTTGAATTGCGTCTTGTTTGTAAACGAATATGTGGTGAAATGAAGTGAACAAAGGAAGTTCTTACTGACGCGGCCTGGATCTTCGTTAAAAATAAAGTTCATCCACTCTTTCCTAATGTTGGGATGAGAAGGAAGGCAAAGAACAGCTTGGCACTGAACAGCGTCTTGTTGTCTTCTGAGCATCTTTATCGTTTGGTTTCTACATAGACCTGGGGCCCGTTCTTCGTACGTCGCTAACTCGGTTAGCTGGATTTGACTGTTGACGATTTGGCATGATCTTGGATTGGTTGGTTCTTCGAAGCTCATCCCGGAGTTGCTGACAATAAAATTGACTGTCTTAATATTTTACAGGACATGGAGAAACCAGTGGTACTTTGTAATGATGGGGACGCTGGCTATGCTGCTTTTATTACAGATGGCTGTTTGCCAGCGGGTTAGCTTGGTCAAACAAACAGGTGAATCAAATTATGCGCTCCGCCTACACATATGCCAGGATATAACATTAGTTACTAACTTTTCAGGAAAAAAGCCAAATATGTCAGTCTCTGAGTAACATGTAATTTATTTAAGCCACAAAAAATAAACTTCATTCTGTAAAATAAGTATAATGAACTACACAAAAAGCATTTAAAATGTCTCCAGAATGTTTTATAATTCCCCAAAAATCA